AAGAATTCAAGTCTGACTAAGAATTTTGCATGATAATAATACAGCTGAATCTATGCAGCTTCAGCCTAAAGTACAGAGGTTTTTTGTTTGATTACACATTGTACTTAGAACTGTGATGATGAGAGCTATGTACTTAAACAAATTTCAGGTATATATACGTACAGCCACAAAGGTTCACCTGTACCTAAACAAATTAGGCCAATCATCTATAAGTTATACACGTAACCAAATGAGTATATACGTCAAGCTTTTGTTCTTTTCATGTTTTGAATTCTCAAAATTATCATCTTTGAGATATAATTTATCTATCTTTAGTATAAAAAAAATTGGGTTCACAAATGTCCAGGTATAGGTACATCAGATATTCAGGTATACAAATGTAGGTACACCAAATATTTAGGTCTTGACCTGCTCCTAAAGAATTTTACAGGTACAGGCACAGGTATAATAGGTATAAGGTACACAGATGGTCTATGTACCTTATACCTATATGGCAAGACCTAATTGTACCTGTGCAAAGATTGTTAATATCCATGCTACCAAGTAGGGTCCTATATTTCTTCACAACGAAACACTGCTTTTACATGTACATCCTGGTGGTAAGTACTCGATAAATCATTAATGTTTAAGACCTGTTAATAGACGGTCCTAGAGTGAGGAAAAATTTCATGGGGTCGTGACTTTTGTACCAGTGGACTCCTGTAGCAACCTCATACCAGGATCCCTAGACATCAGAACGACCCCTCCCCTGACTATATATACAAACACATAACTATTCTCCATTTAGCAGTTAATAAAACGACCAGCCCATAAACAAGAATTCGCAGCCCCTAAAAAACTTGGCGAATCCTGAACAAACAAGGGCCGCATGTTCAAAGGGGATTTCACACCTGTTGGCACTGAAAAGTTGGTGTTGTCCAAACAAAGAGATAAAGCTATTGATCTGCCCTTGTATGTCATGCCACACCTTCTCTTGACCCACAAACTCACACACCATGCAGTAGCTTCACTTGCTATCTTTATCACTCGTTAGAGGCTGGGTGCTAAAAACAGCCCAAAAAGCGATTTCGGTACTACTGAATGTCAAAATCAATATTTACAACATTTTATATTGTTATGCAAGAGATAATTTGAGTTATGTGGGGCAAGTTTCAATAGTTTGGGGTATTTTGTAAGGAGGTATTTGTAGACACCCTCTCATTATCAAAGTATTACATGATTAAACCTCTAGGTCCAGGAGGGAAAATGGCACCTGTACAGGTAATGTTAGCTTGGTAGTATCCTCGGTATGCAGAATGATATACCAGACAAAAGCTTTATATGAAGCAGTAGCTGGAATACATGAAGTGCTCTATTTCATCTTCCAGTGGTCATTCACAAATGAGACATCCAAATGGGGTCCACATATTCAATAATAATAGAGAGGAAGCAATTTTGCAGAATGCCATCCCTGGTTAATGACGTCAACTCAGCATCCCTGATGTAGTTATCGTAACAATCGACCTAGTTACGAATAGCAGTTATGACATAGGAACCATATACTTATCTTTCCATAGCATCAGGATACTACTGCACAATGATAGTCATTTCCCCATTATTCCAGTAATTTTACACTGGCAAAACGACCACCTGTCACCAGGTAGGTAGTCCTAATGGACTGTGTTTAATACCAGTCTACATGCTGCATGCACCTGATTCATAATGTACTAGTATCTCATGAAACTTCCAGTTATGGTCCACACGTCTAGCGGAATGCATCACATCTGTCTGGTAAATTCCATATATTTTAGATAACTTTGTAAGTTAAAATTCTTACAGCTACATTTTTACGTACAGACGTATGTTACCTGGGACGTTACAAATTCTATAGGCTAATACAACTGTCCTTTTGATAGAATAAAGTTCTACAATTGTCTTGGTGCAAAATATTCACCTGCAACCTATAATTTGGTAGTGGAAACTAAAATTGTAGGTGATGAATTTGAAAGGGGCATAGTACACAGCTTTATAATTAGTTACTGCCAATTAACATATTTTAGCAAAGGTGCAAATTTTCACATGTTGTGCAGTCTGTCATTCAAAGGTATTTTCCAAAGAATGTATGGTACAACACAAGGATTTGCCAAGGCATGTACATTGTGATGCTAGCATGTTTCAATCAAGCTTCAGTAGGCTACCGTAGGATTAAAGGATTTTTACTAAAATGTTTGCAGTTAACACAGCCATCCTTTGTTCCTTAGAAATCACTCTCTAACCCTTTATAGTCTCCTAGCAAGTCCGTCATTGCACGCATGAAACAGCCCTAAACCCATACACCTGTCACAAATAGGAAGTGACAGGTTCCTTAGCTAACTAAAGGAAAAAGCAACCTATCACATGCAGTGATATTAAGGATTTTTTACATTACATAGCTCTGCTTAGGTTGCACTACCTTTCAGACTACATGTATGCTTCTGCTGTCTGACAAAACCATTCATACACAACATAAATGTATGTGGATCAAGCTTTTCCACAGCCATATATTTTTTCCTGACACGTCAGCATAGAGTCCTCCTATATGATTTCATACGAGTTGAGTCTATTCAATGGTCAATATGAATAGAATGGCCATAATTTCTGCCCTTCATTAGCTGTAAGATTTTATCAAATGAAGGATTAACCAATGCTTGACAAAAATATGGACCAACATCAGATCTCTTTCTGCTCACCTTCCTCATATTACAACACAATCCATTTGGACCAAAAGTAATCCAAACTGCCAAAGAACATTCCAGCTTCAATCTACATGGAAGGCTACATCTGTGACAGGGAATGATAGGAACAGTCTTTAGTATAGGACCAGGAGTCCATCTTCCTTTATTGCCCCTATGTTGACCTCGCATCATGACCTATTGGCACTCTAGAGCTGTCCAGTGGAAAGCAAGAGGCACACTCACGAATGTAAGGTACCATAGACCTGATGACATTAGACCTACGCTGCTATTGATCTACTGTATTTAGAAGCTACCTTATTATTCACAAAAGCCAGATTTACTGGGAATTGTTCTCATTACTTGACTGTACTATAGCTAATGTTTAAGGTCTTGCAACTGGGCCAATGTATATGCAGGGATGTCATTATCATCAGCATTGTATGGGTCACTGCAATGGTCTTACATACATGTATTATGGTGCAATGAATCTTGAAGGTTCTGTAATTACGTCTTGCCAAACCACTATCAAAGAATTACAGGAAAATGTACATGTAAGCCTTCACAATAGGTACAACAGTGACATGTCCTGTGACGGTGCTGCATTAATCCATTCTTTGTGGAGACCCCAGAAGTCCGGCATAGCTTTTCTCTTCATGTTTGACTGACAAGTCCCTCAGCATCCATCATGCCAGTGTCCTAAATTCCTGCCAGATATGAATGCTATGATAGTTTACGGCCATTCCATGTTGGCTGTTGCAGACCTCCTGGCACCCGGCTGACCCCAGAGCCTGCCCCTGTCCTTAATGAATGCCCCAACAGATTACTCCTTCTGTGATGTAAATGTCCGATCTTTCTGAAATCCCTCGCAGGCGATGCCGAACAGAAAGACTCAGTCAAGGGAATTTCACACGTGTCCAGAGACAAGATGAACTTCAAAGGAGAGGGTAATGCATTGCAAGTGTTAGCTTGACCTGCCGAGGGATTGGTAAATGGGTTTCTGTGACCCATGACCCTGGTGAGGAACTGTCCATTGTTGGTATGACTGAGGGAGCGGGTGGGTTAAAAGACTGTCATAAACTGACAGGGGAAAATGAGGGTCTGAACCTGCATTAGGCTAGAGACAAATTTGATTTCCTTCCACACAGAATTTTATTCATGACAAGATCGGGAGGGGGGGGGTCCTGAGATCCTAGCTATCTAGCTATATACTGTCCATAGGTTGCATGTTAATTTTCATAAGACAGAGGAGGCAGGCCATCTTTACTTCAAATAATTCCTAGGGTAAGCTATTTATTTTCATGCGACACATGGTGAAATTTTGAGGAAAGCGTACTGTTCCCTTCCTGAATTTAGTGCTTTGTGGGCGGACCTCCTGAATTTACCATAAAGCACAGACTCGACCCCCATGCAGGCCCCACAGGATAATAGATATGACTTATCTAAAGAGCTGACTATACTATCATGGTCTAACACAAGATGATCACAAGAATCTTAAAAACCTAAGTATGCATAACTCCTTTAGTTATCCTAGTCAGTAACATACGCAACCCAAGCAGAGCAGGTACAGCCATATGATACACGTCCGTGCCGCATGATTGCGATACCATGGTGCTACATTCTGACGGCTGTAATTTTATCTATTGTTCCTACATGCTCCCTTCTGACAGTAATTACAACTCAGGCATTCATGGTATATGCAAGATCAACGTTCATTTTCAGGCTGTCAGGTTTCTCAGGTGAAAGTAAACACGGCATTTTGTCAAGTATTTGAACTATGATGCCTGCAGGCCAACTGCAAAGAACTGGACATTAATATATGTCATGTATGGTGGCATGACACATGTATAGCTACAGCTAGTATTACATGCAGCAGTTCAAAGTTAGCCAAGATCTTGCATCATAAAACATTTAGCTACTCCCTGCTCTATACAATGTAGGTGCACATATCATGGAACAATAACAGCACAAAAATTAAGGTATACTGTATAGGACGTAATGCTGACGGTAGAAATAGGTATAGCACACACCACACCACACATGTTGGTGACTACTTGTGTATAGTCATGCATATACACAATAAATTTCAAATAAATACAGACAAGAAGTTTGTGTACAATAACATTAATCACCACTTATTATTTTTTGGTCACCCTATTGGAATATTCCATATTTTTCTGTAAGTGCTGAAAGGCTGTTACTTGACAGCAGTCAGTCACATTTGGATGACAAGACAGATTTAATCCCTTTACAATGAGATTCCATTCTGATGAAGTTTGCAAAAATGATCAACAGAGAAAGAATACCAACCTCTTTCATCTTGACAAAGTCGATGGTTGGTCTCTCCTCCTCTCGCCTGCGTTTCAGTCCCCCCTTGCGGTCGTGGTGCAAGACGCAGGGCTGGGACCGGGCCCGCGGAAGGCCCACTCGTCTCCGCGGCAACTCTGGCGTGGACGTCAGGCTGCTTCCCACGGACGACAGCGACCCGGAGCCCTCGGACACGGCCTCGGAGACGGAGCTGTCAGTGCGCTTGTGTCTGGTGGGACTGTTGTCGAGCCACGGGGCGGAGAGCGAGGTGTCGAAGAAGCCGCTGCTGGCGGAGGCCGGGCGGGGGATGGGCGACTCGGGCGGGGTGGAGAACTGCTCGCTGGGGCTGAAGGGCGCTCTCCCACCGGCGTGGACTGGGAATGACGACAAACTGCTGTTGGACCCTCGGAAGGAAGCTGTGCTGTTCAACCCGTTTTGACCCTGTTTGAGTTTCGTGACCGGCGTCCAGAGCTTGCAGCCGCTGGGCTTCCAGCTGGAATCTGTTTGTGAAAGTTCCGTGGGGATGGAGAGGGAGCGGCAGTGTCGTTTCTTTGGCGGCGGGGGTTCGGGCGGCGTCTGTGATATGTTGGAGTCATTGCAGTGGAAGTTGAAGCGGGTTGGTGCAGAGGTTTCGCTCTTGTGACGGCTGCGGGTCAGAATCGTCATGCGGTCCCCCGGGGGATACGCCATGGCTTCTGTCACCCCCGACCTTAGGCCATTCTTCTCCACAAATGCAGTCCTCTTGTGCTCTGTAAAACAGGTAGAAAACTTTAAACACCGAACAAACACTGACCACTGCAACAATCATTTTGTACACATATGTTTTAAAAAATCTGAATCCAAGATAACATTCTGTTATGCATCATCTTTGTAAGTTACTTTGTCCAAGAAATAAGTAATTTTTTTTAGTGGCCTGCCAATGCACTGGGAGCCTCAAAGGATAAAAAGAGTTCTGCCAATGTTGAAAGACACAAACATGACCACAAGACCACTCTGCCTTTTGAAAACATGATGTTTCTGTTATTTGCACCTGGTACAGATGGATTTGAAGGATGTGTTTTGTCTTTCAACAGATACTATCCTAGTCTTCTATGTTGACAGTGACAATGATCTGTCGGTTTGTTTTTTCGGACAAGAGGCACTCTCGTTCTTACAAACATCACAGCACCTGTCTCTTCAAAGGTGCAAAAATCCCTCACAAGGAACAGGAGTGAGATATTTGAAGAACACCCAGAAGAACACCTGTGCTTGAAGAATACTGAGGGACCAGTTTTGAGTGCGGATGCAAGAAAACAGTTTAGAGCAAGGAGTTAAGTCAGACTCAGGTCCTGGGAGATTTGGATCAAACAAACCTATCCAGTCCCTATCTAATGAGGTATTTGCTTTTTCATTGGGCGAAAGTTGAACAAGAAAAGTACTTTCTTTTACTGACAATGAGATCAATAAGCCCCTGTCATAGATTAATGAAAGAAAACAACTTGCATGGCCAACTGTTTTCTGACATGGGTACTTGAATGGTTTCATGCACTAGCAACAAATTTGCTCTGTTGGCATTCAACAAGTTCACTCAACAATGACCCACAAATGAATACCGCCAGTGTTATCAAGCAAGTCAAGACAAAGATGAAATTAAAGTGAATGGACCTGTGTATCTTATTTGTTTAGTGGCCATTTGATATGGTAATGAGCAATTAGCTAAACTTAGGAATGGATAGTTACAAACAATTGAATGCTTACACCTTCATATAATTGGACTTGGAGCAATAGATTGGGAGTACCAGTAGGTTACAGGGAAAATTAGCTCCTTGGATACATTAGAGCCTGAGCTCAATGGATTGTTTTCTGGAGCCCAGTTAGTAAAGTGAAGTTTTAAATAGTTTTTCTTGATAAAGGGAGTAAAGAGTACATGTTTTAACTAAAACTAGTAGAAGGGAATTCCTAAATGTTTTCATTCTTGCATTTTATGTCTTAGTAAGGAGGTTAAATCAATCATTTGGTCTTAGCTTGCCATTCAGAAAACATGCTATAAGTATTTCTGAAATTTTAAAAGCTTTTGGATCAGTCCGAAAGTTTAGTAGCTAAGGAAACACTGATGCAACACTTCATTCATATGGAAACAACAACAGGTTCCCTTTGAGTCTGACAAAGTAACCTCACCCCCTTCTATACTACCATGACACTATACTCTCTTACATGAAAGTGAGCCCACCCAACACAATTAGTCTGAGCAAACAAGGTATATTTGCTGAGACTACGTCAGGGGTTTTCTTACCTCCATAGCGGTACGTTTTCGGGATGGTGAAGCTACGGGCTCGCAGGCTCCGGTGCGCGGGACGCTGTAACACAACACAGAACGGAAATAAGTTCTCAACTTTGCAAATGAGTTACTAACCAACACAAATCAACTTTCAATGTCAAACTTATATTTTCAGTAATTGTCATCAAAATTATAGCAAAATCGTTACTATAGGTATAACATCAGCAAAACTATACCAGAGTGACAGATGCTATAGACTGACCCCTTCAAAACATAGAAATATGGAATAAGAACATAAAAATGCAACGATTTGACAGGCATGCAGCCACTGTCTCATTGGTCAAACAGCTAACAACAAAAATGTCACAATCCCCATTATGCTATAGGCCTATAGCCCTCTTGTGTTGGCACCTTACACTTGAAAATTGCAATAGCTTCAGACTTCATGCTTGTGATCAAGCATTGGCATCAAATACTAATGAAATTCAAGAATGCATACTGGTATTGAGAGGTTGTCATAGCAACTATTCCATCAGAAGTTTAGGAGGAATTTGAAACTATAGTTTTTACCCAGCTGGGCAGTCAATTTTAAGAATAGAATTCATTCATATTGTTTTCCATATTAGTACACAATCTCATGATTTGCAATAAATACTTGTTGTGTGGACATATTGGACCACAGATATGGCAAAATTTTTGAGAAAATTTTTTCTTTTTGTTCTTCTTATACCCCAAAGCAAAGGTTAAGTTTCCTATTGTTCGATCCACTTGACAAGTTCAGTCAGAGGGTTGCTTTCATGGCAATCCAACTAGATGACAGGCCATCACTCACAATGCATGGTTTAACTTAAGGGTCTTGTTAGTGCATGATGACGCCAGAAATATTCTCCCATTGAACCGCCCTAACCTAAGAAAATCCACAATGGCATGAAACGTGAACAGCTTAGCTGCCTGTAAAGACAGCCAATTACTGGTGGAAGAGCTACTTTAGAGAGGATCATGTGAGATCCGGTGAGCTGCATGCTAAAACTTGCCTTCTGTTCCTGTGGGGGTCCTGCATGCTCCCCCAGAAAATTTTGAAAACCTCCAAACCTACATTTTCATTCAATTTTTAGCTCATTAAAATATATTTTCATGTGAAGTTACCGTATTGGATTCCATAAATTTTGGGATGGCCATTGTGAAATTTTTATGTCTCACAACAAGTAAATTTCTTGGTCATGTCATGTACGTAGCATTTATTTATTCATAATGGGGATTGTACCAAAATGCAACTTAATTATATTTCTTACTGACATTGGCTATGTTGCAAAATCGTTGCCATTCAAAGCATTTTAGAAGGATATACCCATGTTCCCGTATATGATGATACCCATTTCAATATCTTTAACTTTTGAACCTGAAAAAAATACCGGATACGTTGTGCACTGCCTAGACTTATCCATTCAAAAATTAACAAAAACATTTATGTACATTTTATTACAGTATTTCCAAGAAAAAAAAGTACAAACTACTCACATGGTCTATCTGATTGTATGTTACATCTTTGTCTTCCAGACAGTGGTTCTGTAGTTTCTCTGTGATCAGCGTGACCATATTACTTTCCACGTCTTGCCAGGACTTTGGCAACCTTACAGACGACTCCTTGGAACCCTTGGCGAGGCCTCGGGGGGTGCCCAGAGCACGGTTTGCTGGCTCGATGTTGGCGGTGTCAGGACGCAGCTACAGCATGTTGACGATGATTGGATGTAATTGCGATCCCTGAGGTTTGACGGCTGAAGATGTCTATGATCGCTGAGGATGGGCAGACAAGCAATCATTAGCACTTCTTACACCTTCAACAGCACATAAGTGCAGAGTACATGAACAAAGCCAAAAGACCAAAAGTTACTGAAAAGTGGCAGTGAAATAAATCACTTCTGGAACCTCATACTTCACACCTACCGGTATTCTTAAGGTTTGTCATTGATTATGCAAATAGTACATTGATTATGCAAATGGTCCTCATTTGCATAAATTATATCAATTAATGATCTTAATCTAGTAATCTCAAACTGACTAACCAAATAACACATGTTGCCAAAGTCTGAAAGTCTTCGCAATGAAGGCCATTGTGGCATTTTTGCATTATTTATGTAAATGAGGCGACCCTTTCAATAAAGTTAAATTCAAAAGGTGTGATGATCTATCAAAATTGGCCAAAGAAATAGCTGCTGCGGGCCCAAACCTTATATTTGCAACAGCCATTTGGATGATGATCAAATTCGGACACTCCCATAATTTCCCAAAGTAGAACAGCTTCAGGCTTATTTGAACCATGCCTGATAGGACATTGACACCGTCAGCCATATCAAAACATGTCCAAGCAACCCACAATGAGCAAACATCACAATGTCCGACACTCATTCTGTCAATACACTGCACAGTACTGCACAGATTCTTAGTAAGGATAGCAACTGTTGTCCAAGACTTTCATGTTGCAGTTTATAGATCCTGTCAAAAACTCACAGAGACTGACAGGGATCTCACTGACTGTACCTGGCTACGTGCCAAGGAGGAACAACACCAGCTGGTTAGACAAAAGGTTAAGGACTATTGCTCAGACTATCATAGTAACACAGCTCTGATGCACACCTGTTCAGTAATTGTGAAGCAGGAGTGGTGAAATGCTTCAAAACGAAAAGAGAAAATGTGAAGGAAGACGGAGGATATAAAAAAGACTGACCAGGGCTTCCTGTCGTATGGCGGAATCAAAAGCAATTGAAATAGCTCAAACTTTTTTAAGTGTATCTGAGAGTGGCGTAATGTTCCTGGAGACCAAAGCATCCTTGTCAAGCTGGTTAGTTGTCAAACTGCCAAACAATATGGCCTGTGGCAGAGCAATTTCAAATGACCTGCCAAAACTGAACATTTTCTATTTAAGAATTTAAAATGTCATCACTTACTCTATTTCTCACACTTCAGAAAGACATTTTGTCACTTACAATGTAATTTCATTAATATCTTATATTCTTGAAATAGTGGGTCTACCAGCAAAGGAAATACCTAGTGTGGACCCTTTTTGACTGGTGTAAACAAACCCATACAGCTCAATATTATGCCACTATTTTGGGGTAATTTGAATCCATATGACTTTCTTTCACGAAAGTGGAAATTTAGTCTTCTCATGAAAATGAACACTTCAATGAAAACATTGCGCTAATTTTCAAAATGCATGTAGAAGGTTATTAACCCCTTCCCTGCCTTACCTGGCCATACAATAACCCTCCCGTGCTGATGTGCACAAGCTAATTACTAACACAAGGTTGCCAGGATATAACGGAAGGCTGCAGACAGGCAGGACAACCCCAGAATGTGACCTCTGGGAAAGGGGTCAAGGGCATGAGGGTTCACTGGCAATAACAAACTAGCCCTGGTCACAGTCAGTCAACAACATCACTTTTTTGGGCTTGAACGTTAACACATGAAGACAAACACATAAGGATACACAATGTACACTGTGTAGAAAAGACGCTGTTAATTATTCTACTTTGTAGAACTTCGCTTTCCAATATCCGAATCATAGCTAATCTACATGATTTAGGACAGTCTTGAAAAACTGGATGCTATCTATGATAAGTTATAACCTTCCCCTGCTCCCTAACCCCATATAAAAGAATTGCAAATTCATGCCAAACCTTTTGTGGGAGCTAGTTGGGAAGCAACTAGGTATAAACAAATTCAACCAATAATTTGAATAAATGTAAAATTGAAAGATAAGGACCTTTTTCAACACTAGTATATTACGTCAACATCATAATTAGCACTTGAGGATGCAGGAAACATCATTCAATCCAAAGCCACAGTCTCTTGACTGTGGCTGATTCAGTCCATGCAGTGCTGAAAGGGCATGACCTGGGAGGCAGTAATGTCTCTTGTATACTCATAGTGATGATGCCATGAACAGTAAATTGTGGGACTTTTGTGGTGTCAGTAGCCATAGTCATATACTAACCCTAAGACCAGCAACACTGAGAAATTTACAAAATTTACATAACAAATGCAACTGGCAACACTGGTATACTATATATATTAGAGGGGTTGGTTGTTATTACTTATATCAGGATGGTAGTATGTTCAGCTGCACATTTAAAACAGAAGTTATCAGTAGGGCACATCCTATACAAAGTTAATTTGGACCCCTGCAGACTGTCAGCATTTGCCTTACACTACCGTATCCTGCATTGAAATGATTGGTAACTGTAAAGGTGTAACTTTCGCATTGGCTTCACTTCTCAGTAGGAGGGAAAGGGAGGTTTTCAGTGTTTTAAATTCATGGTTGGAACAATTCTGTATGACAGTAATCATACAAGGAAGACATATTTGCATGACATAAATTTCCAGTGGAGGTCCCCACAGTTTTATGATGTACAGTATGTTTTTAAGCCAATTATACATTGTGCCCAGGCCTGATTGTAACCTATCCTAAAAATACCATTCAAATTCATTTCAGTTGTTGTAGACACTGACACACCAACCAACCTAATAACAAACAAATAATGAAGTATGGAAACATAATCTGCCTTGTGGATCTGAGAAGGTAACAATAACAAACCAGACCTGGTGCATAATTAAATCATGGACTGTCTACTTGGACTCTTGCAAAAACTTCCCTTTAAACTGTGTGTTGATTGAGAGGAAACATTGCAGAAAACAACTCTTGACAACTTCCCACCCACTTCCCAGACAAACCTTCTGGTTAAAAGACTGGGCAAACTTTCTTCACAATTCTTTGCTTCCCCTCCAATTGAGGATCCGGCAACTCAAGGTGTATGGAAATGTCAATCATTCCCAGGTAATTGCCTGATGCCACCCGAGCATGGAAACGTTTCCAGACAACAACACAAAGCCAGCTCGCTGGCTCACCAAACAGCTGGCCGGACTGGGAGACTTCAAACTGGAATTTGAACCTTGTTGTCCCTGCAACCCTTTAAATACTGTTGAAACAACCGAGCCGGGCCAGAGAAAGAGCCGGCATAAAAGGAGGATTAATAAAAGTAACTGCACGTTCCAAAGTTGGGCTGAACAGAATCTGATTATGACAATAGAGGTGTTTGAGGAATTTGGTGAGGGATTGTGTTGACCTTCCCTGTGTAATATTAGTGCACAGGCTTGACAAGTACTTCTGATATACTTCTGAAGCACATTGTATACCAATGACAACCACAAAAGTTTATAAGCTGCTGGAAGAATGGCTTACACTTATGCATAAGAGCTTTAAAGGTTTTAATAAAATAAAAAATTGAATAACAACATGGAAGTATGTGCAGCTTTGGAAATAATAGTCTGTACTAGAATTACACCTTCCAATCATTGTGGGGACCAGATACATTTTATTTTGTCTTAAAATCAGGTTTTCACACCTATGCCCCCAACATCCAGCCAAGGGATCTGCAGCTTCTTGGGTGCTCCAGGATATTTTATAATTATTTTTTTAGTCTCTAAGAAAGTGTCAGGGAAAAAATAGCATTTCCCTGTAAATAACCAGAATTCTTAAAAAAAATTTCAAATGGAAAGAAATAATGGGTCTGTCAGAAAATGTGAGACCTTCCCAACATCTGCTTGGAAACAAGGTACTGCATATGCCTCATTTGTAAGCCAGACCTGAAGCCAACAACAGCATTAAACTTGTAAGGACCACTAAGTAAACAGAAGCAGCCCTGCCTTGGCACTACTCAGGAAGGTGATACACTTCAGGGACCACTACCATGCCAGGAGAGCCTGATAACCAGTACATTTACAGAAGGTGTGCCATATTGTGATAACAGCTTTATATAGCACCAACGCTATCTCTCATTGAGAAAAAAGATGGATTGAAACACCATAGCACCCTCTTTGTCATTGCAGGACAACACACAGTCAAAGATAAACTCCAGCAAAGTTCCCTGGGTGCCCTGGTTGGTGTGTGGTGAGGGAGGATTGTTGAAAGGCGGTAAGTAGAGATGTATGTGATCAACCATGATAATGAGGAGGGAGACAGCTGCAGCCATTACACGCACAGAGGTCCACATGCCTGGGGCTGGCAGCAGGACTCCAGCGAGGGTCGACGCAAAGACTCATTCACTATGGCTACGAACAAAGGAGAAACAATGTACAAAATGACCTTGCCCAAACTCTTTGTCTCCATATGCAGGTTTCGCCTTTCTCGGCAGTGAAAAGCCCTTATGATCACATGCAAAAATACACAGGAAACACTGAGAGAGTATCAGATTCATCAAAAGGGGCCTCACCAAAGGGACCTCACCTAATCAACATGCCTCTCAATGACAGAAGAAACAACAGCGTTCAACGACTAACCCAGGATTATTCGGCTTAATTTCAGGGCTTGAAGCTGTGTTAGTTACTGCCACAGGGAAAATACATTCTTAGATGACATACTAGTATGTATGATACGAACCCAGTTTGCATTATAAACCTCACAGGTGTTTGCTACACAACCTGTAATCACATGTACTCCAAAGACATAGTCATCTGGCACATGATGACAAGAAAAGATAGAAATACAGATAGCATGTCCAAGCCTGTAGTATATTGTCATGCTCAGCTTCAAACCACCCATTTATCCTCCATCTGGGCTTCATTTCCTGGTGTGACCCACAGGTTGACAAATACTCCAGAGGAAATGCTTCATCATCTTCTGATGCTGGCATTTGTGCCTGCAATCTGAGGCTTGTTCCAGTAAGTTTGACTTGAATCCTCTCTCTAAAGTAACTCAGCCATGCCCTTGGCCAAGATAAATGCCTTCTGGCCATGGG